CTCCGACAACAGTCTCCTTTTCATTTTCCACTCTCCGACAACAGTCTCCTTTTCCATTTTTCACTAACGAAAAATAAAAAGTAAGATGGGTGTAAACACTCAGATTTATGGCCATACAATGTCCATTGGTACAATTATATTAATTACAGTACGATACACTTACATTACACATTGGTGTATTTGTGAATATAAATATATGAGTACCGGAGAATTTCTATTTTTGAAGATAACGGCATGTCAGAAGAGCGGCAATTTTAGTGTAAAACATCTATTTAGATTAGACGAGTATCAATAGTATTTATCTTCGAGTTTTAAATTAGAGTGCTTCTATTTAAAATGAGATCATTAGAAATGTTTTAGCTATTTAAGCGAACCTCAAAGCTTTGTGCAAAGTGCACGGCAACTCTGCTTATAAGCTTTCACCATTGTGCAGTGAATACCTCGTTGCAATGATGAAGAATGATAATCGAATGAGAGCGAGTGAAGGTTTTCTTGTTAATGTATAGATTTTTATAATAAATCGTGAAAATCACCCCATGTGCCGCCTTCGACTGTGTTGACTATATAGAACGTGCAAAGCCAACTCACAACACTAAGCTACATTCAGTTTACCTATCGCAACTTGGTTCTTTCTTACAATGGTGCCCTAAATCGTCAATAGTGGTATACTCATTCTTTGAAATTGACGACAACCTGTACCGTATCATATTCCAGGGTGCTTCCAAATCACCCCAGTCATAAATTGCACTCTTGGTGTTTTAACACTTGTAACTTAAGATTGTGTTGCAAAAGGTAGAAATTAGCCATCTCGTTACACAGTGCCTTCATTTCTCCGTCACTTTACTTGTCAGCACCTATTTCCCATCATCGTCAGCATCTGTTTCAAAAAAATCCTGTTTGATCGCGTCGTTGACTACTGGAATTCGATCACCTGTGGGGGGAAGCTCAACGTGCGGCGGATATATCCAAACTGCCACGACCAGCTTACGCACGGGAAGAGGGCGATACTTTCCAGTTTTCGTGATCGTATCAGGTAAATGACTACTTTTCGGATGGTCGCTGCAATTATTGCCGTGTGCGCGTAGCAGGACGCTGGGGAGACCTGGTTCTTCGACCACCTGCCACTGCACCGTTATCTCTGGAGATTGTAATGTGTGCACGCATTCCTTTGACTTGGTCTTCACAAGCTGGTCCAGCTGGCGCAAATCGTTCATTTCACGTACCAACAGTTGAAAGGCTTCATCACCATCCAGCATCTCTAGTAGCCGCTAGAAGTGATAGCAATGAGGTGCAGTTAATGAGGCCATTCTTATGTGAACTCGAGATACGCCGCTATTCTACCTGCATTGTTTTCCTCCCAGTTACATCGCTGTCGTTATCGCCATGAAAATGAGTCAAATCTTGACTTCTTATACTTACCTGTAGCGTTAATGCATGTTGAAGAGCACCCACATCGCTACGAGCCTTTAGCACAAATGTGTTTCGTTCACGTAACATCGTAAGTCAAATCGTACTTAGTACAGTAATCCACAATATTTTAAAAAGTTAACTTATTGGCTACAAACCTATATATCAAATTGAAATAAGGTCAAATTTGTAATTCATGGAGACAAAACCTGTGCCTGTGTGCGTTCTACTACCGACGCCCTCGCTCGCTCGCTCACCGTCGCTTGAAGATGGCGTGCCTCCTGCTGTTGAGCGTATGCACCGATCTTTTGGATGTGAGCTGATTCAAGAGGCTGGGGTACTATTACGTCTACCGCAGGTCGTGATGGCCACAGCCCAAACGCTTCTCCAGCGCTTCTTTTATCGCAAGTCGCTGCGTCAATTCGATGCTTTCCGCGTGGCAGTCAGCTGCTTATTTTTAGCGGCTAAAGTGGAAGAGAAGCCTAAGCGCATAAAAGATGTCGTCAGCGTCTTCTACGCCATGTATCGACGCCGCAAGTGGCACTGCTCAACTGTTGCTCAGCAACTTGTGGACTTGGATGGTGCCACCTTTAGTCAGTGGCGCATGTGGCTTATCATGGTGGAGCGGCAAGTGCTTATAGACTTAGGCTTTAGCATTTACAGTATCACAGAGCACCCACATAAGTATGTGCTATACTACGTTAAGGTACTGGATGGCAGGTCTGCGCTCGCTCAGCAAGCTTGGGGCTACATAAATGACAGTCTGCGTACTGATCTTTGTGTGCGTTATAAAGCTCAAGCTATTGCCTGTGCTGCCATCTTTTTGGCCAGCAGATTTCTCAAAGTGGCGCTTCCTGAAAATCCACCTTGGTACAAGCTGTTTGATGTAAACAAGTCTCAGCTCTATGCAGTCAGCATAGTCATTATGGGGCTGTACAAGCAGGAGAAGTTGCAATGGGTGGAGCCCCTGACCGAGGCGAATCCATTTGAAGTTGATGATCAGCCAATGAAAGAGGAAGAAGAGATTGAAGAGGTTGCGATGGTAGACAGAATCGGAAAGGACTCAGCGGCGTCTATTCAACCTCTCGTATTAGAAAAAAGTATGAAGACATTGCCTTTTGCCCCAAAGCAAACCGTGACAGAGGAACAGTCTAAATCAAAATCGTCTACGGGGACGTCTGAGCGATGCAGTCGCTGGGATAATAGCTTGTTCGCGTCGCACCGAAATCGTACGAGGAGTTCCAACTGCCGCTCGAGACGCTCCCATTGTAGGTCACGTGACCTCCAATCAGGTACATCCCGCAGTCGTCGAAGCCGTTCAGATAGTCGATCGAGGAAATCTCGCAGTCGAAGACGACGCAGTGGGAGTCGAAGCTTTGAGCGCAATAGGCATTAATAGCTGAATTACTGAAGGAAAGCAGAGTTCCATTAAATTAGCTTTTTAGAAAAAAAAGAATTTTTAATAAGGAAATCAAACTAATTTTGAAAAAAAAATATTATTTTTTTCGCATCATATCAAATGTTTTTTCAAACTTTACATTATTTGTTATAAAAATATCAATTTATAGACCACGAAAGCATATGACGTTAGTCTCAGATGCAACATAATTCTAGCGGTCGGACTGTCGCCCGATCAAATATCATGTAATTCACTTCGATCTCGTCACATTGAAAGACATCGTCTGTAGGCTCTCACTGCTTTCAGGAGAGTTGAGATCGCCAGTACATTCTGCGATTGCCTTGCAAGATTGCAGTTTTTCCAGTTGTCCTCCGCGAGAGACGACAAATTCTATCTAAAACTGCAAAAGTGCGAGTAGCTGTATGCGTCTACAGCAGCTTTGCCTGCTGCCCATCTCGCCAACATCACGCGCTCCATCTCAGAACTCACTCTCGGTTATATTTTTGTGAAAATCTTCAAGTCCTTCCACGCGGTGTTGATACCATATGACTGCAGTGCAGTGCACAGGATAAGCTTCGATTCAAAGAGCTCAGGATAACAAAGAAAAACAAAAGCTTGGATATAGGGTACGAATGCTTATCCAGCGATTATGCAGGAATTCGCCTTGCTAATGCATCATGGATGGATCAAAGATGCTGTTCATAGAAACAACTGCCAGCTTCATGCGCTACGGTAGTCAGCAACGAAAACTCTGGTTTCGTGAAGCTTGACCAGCATCATGGCTATAAATAGTTAGAGTCAACTAGTGAGGAAGCACACAAACAGAAATCATGGTAAAAGAAATATCGATAATACCGTTTGCAAGCATGTAAAAGTAGCGCTTCCGCCTGACAATGGATCACAACTTCTGAGATAATGGACTACAAAGTCCTTGAAACTCGTGGAAATTGTTACCGCAAAAGATACGTCGATAATCAGAATGATCTTTGCCGATATATAAGCGAGGTGTTAGATAGTGTCCCTCATCTCCAAGATCAAGCCTTTATCAAATTTCGAACGAGGTACAAGCTTAGCTAGCGATGTTCTTACAGGGTATGACAGTTTTATATCTTGGGTTGAACAAAGTTGTCAACAGAATGGCTCTGGCAATTTTGACAGTGCTCGCACTCTAGCGCACCACATGGCAAAGACAATGGCGATGGGTATCACGTTTTGGGAATGATCTGGTACGTTGAGCTTTTTATCTTGGATAATTGCTCATCTAGTAATAACAATTACCGGACTTGTTGGGTCTAATGATTTGGACTATCACTTCCTTCAACTCGGGTGTGCTGGCTAGAATACATAATTTTTTATGCCTGTGTGTCTAAGTAATTACTGTGCGACGCTGCCAATTCTTCTGCAATGTAAAGCGATGAATGCATATCATTTGCCCATGAACTGATGGAAGAAGTTAACACTATTTGGAAGAGATGAAATCTTTGTCTCAAATGGCCAAATTCATCATAAATTTGGGATTTTTAATACACCCGTTGTGACGAACAAAGCAGGTAGTGGTATCCGGAGCGAAGTATTGGCGAGCCGACTCCGTTACCAAACGAATTTAGACCACTTGAGCGAGGAAAGACTGAGTATGAGTTTTGGCCCATCCTTTCATATATGGTACCATAATTGTATAGATTTATAAAACCATCCTCTTCAAAATCAGCATGGAATTTCAAGAGTGTATGTCGCTGCTTGCCTCTCGCCCTGCACATGCTCATGAGCAGTGCGAAACGCAGCAGCCGACTGAACATCAACTTAATGTTGCTAAGAGCAATGACAACGATAACTTTGAGAATCACACGGATCTAACGCTTTTGAGCAACCAAGAGCTGATTGGGACTTTTCGCTTGCTGCAGGAGGCGCGAGTCCAAATTTACGCTGACTTCAGACAGTGCGTCGCGGGAATGTTCTTTCTCATTATTGATTCTCATTATGTATATGACGACAGGGGATTTCATGAGTACCAGAGGACAGAGCACTTTTCCACTTTCTGTGCGTTTATTATGATGACAAAAAATGAGATAGCTATCCGAAAATAACCTGGTTCTTTTTGCAGGTTCACGAATAACAAAACGTTTCTCAAGCGTCAGTGAGCAAATTAATAAAATTGAGAAGCTGCTGCGAGACGACAAGCAACTAATTACGGCCGCAAATTATATTCGCAAAATTCAATTGGAAGAAAAGGAGAAGCTTCTCGTGGTGAGATCTAAAATGCTTTATCACATGTGCCGCTCGAATGTGATACTGATATTTATATAAAAATTAGACGTCTGCTTTATTGATTGAAAAGATGCGACTAAGTAATGCGATAAAACGGGTTGAACTCGATGAGCCTGAAGTTGCTTTCTTGGAGCGATCGATTAAGACACTAAATGCGAAGCATAATGATTGTATCGTCCGCATCAACGACATTTTAGATGATTTAAGCGCTGAATGTGCCGAGCTGGATTGTTAATCTTGGCTTAATCTTGCAATTCGTTTGGTTTTTGGAGTTTAGGTTATATTTTTGCAAGGCTTTTAATGTTGGCAACTGCTTCATGCCGCAGCAGTGCACGCCATGTTTTGGTACATTCAAAATGACGATCCCGGTTCAGTCAACGTGCAAGGCAAGCGCTGCTGAATTTTGTTGGAGCATACACTCAACCTGGGTCTTTTTCGCATCCAGATGGCGCTTCATTGTTGAGCTTTGCAGGCGATTGGCACGTTGAAAATCTTCTGCTTCAGCTTCTTGGTGCTTCTGACGCAAAAACTCTGCATAAAAAGCGAGTTCATCATTTAATTTGCGACAATGCGATTGCTGAGAGATTTCGTGTTGAGTCAATTTGGTGCATAACGAAATGTCGTACGCTTGCTTAATCTTTTTGCGTATATATAAAGCATCTGCATAAATTGGACGCACGCCTTCAGCATGAAGCGCACTCACGACGTTTTGCCACAATTCTTCAAATTTTGAAGTTGGATACCCCTTCACACTTTCAAAAATCACTTGATCGTTTGGAGATAAATTTTTGCTGTGATATGAAAATGAAGTGTTCGCCATAACTGCATAAATTTTTGGCTTGAGATTTACCTCAAAGTCAAAATTATTGTTTTCCGAGCTCGCATATACATTACCAAATCGTCTTTCTTGCGTTAGTCTTTGCGCTGCCGTAAGCGCATCTTTAAGTCGTGAAAAAGCTGGCGATTCTGGCCGATGAAGTGATAATCGCAAAGATTCACTTAAAATATTGCCTTCTGTCGCAGTAACTGCAGGGAGTTTGCAGCACGTGTCTACTTGGGAAACATAATGATAAACATTCGTTAAAGCAGCTGCATCTACACCGCAATCTATGGCAATGTTCTGTTTCTGACTGGCGCTAATTTCGGCTGCTTCTTCATCTGCATAAAGGCGAAGTAGCACCTCGTTGGCACTAGCATTTTTCATCTCCCCAGGTTGATCACAACGCCATATTTCATATGACGGAATCGCTGCTGGATTCACACAAATTTCTGCTAGAGCTGCCAACGCCTGGTTTTTGAGAGCTTTGGGTGCTATTTGAACTATTGACAGCAATTTTGAAACACCGTCGTAATTTATAAATGCCGTCTCACTTTGAATATCCCCAATCACACACGATCGCACGGCGTCCAAAACTCCAACGAGAAAATTTTCCTCTAAACCCGAGTATGACGGGTAATCTTCGAGATGTTGCACGAGAGTGTAAATACCATTTGCTCGGCGAAAGCGCTCGCGATTCGAACCGTCGTCGTTTCGACACATGCAAGCACACGCTAATATTGCATTTCGACGAATATTGCACGTATGGTGAGATGCGGGTGCCTCGAATACCCCTAAAGCACATTCAATCGCTCCAAGTTGTCCCAGCTCTGACTGAAAGTATGGAAGGGGTCGTGATATCTGCAACAATAGAAGCCAGGTAGACGCCAAAATTTCAGCTGTCCCCATGTTGAGTTGAAGAAAAGAGAGAAGTCTGATATGTCCACCAATTTGATAAAAGTGATCAACCACACAGGGTACTACAAAATTTAGCAGGTTTTGTGCCAATCTTTGCAGAATCTGAAGCTGGAAAATTGAAGAAGCGGGAGATGAAGCCTGGACTGTTTCTCTGTGGTAGGTTATAGTTGCATACGATAGCCACATATCAATACATCGAAATGTAACAAGTTCTTTTAAATTCGCTTCGTGATCAAAAGATATTTCTGCAAGTAAAAACCATAGCATTTGCTTAAATTCAAAATCTTCGTCACTGTCGGTTGTGTAGTTTTGCTTGCTGGCTACTATGGTTGCAGAAGAATGACCATGAAGAAAGGATAATTTAGTTGGTGTATTAGCCTGTGATAATTCAGCTGATGCGTAGGATAATAGACACACTGTTAATCCTGTCGAGTGGAAATAACCTAAATTATACCGTCGTTTAGCAAGTAAGAAAAGAACCATCAAACATTCGTTACGAATTGCCTTATCCTGTTGGCGATATCCGCGAGCTAGTAGTATTTCAATCACATGATGAAGTGCTTGAAATGTTTTAATGTTACCTAATGAAAAGGAAGCGTCTTTAAGTCTGAAAAATTCAAGTAGTTCTTTGCGTGAGTTAACTGTTGTAATTGTCAGTCGTAAATCTCGACTTAGCTCCAGCACATTCCACAAAATTTCGAGACAAATGGGTAAAAGTTCATCTTGGGAACTTCTGACATTTTCAAGAAGAAGCACGATGTAGCTGAGTACTCCTCTCACAACGAGGACCTCTACGCAGCGCTGATGAGCTGAAAGCTCGTTTAGCAAATCAATGAGTGGGAAAAGCAGCTCGGAAAGCCTTAGTTGGAGAGACAGCCCGTCCTTAATCTCGAGCACAAACTTTTGTTCCAAAAAATCTTGAGCGCACTGCTTTTCTTGAGCTGATTGTGGTCTCTCCTTGATCTCATCTTGAGTTGATGCAGTAGTCATATAAAAGTTCGTTAAAGTACGTCTTTCATGTCCAGTTTCTGCCTGTATACCCCTCTCGCCGTTAAAGTATGTGGGAGCTGAAGTTGGTCTCGTCGCTTGAGGTGGACATTGTAACCTTTCGTTCATAATGTTGCCCTCTGACTTCCAATGTCTATTTCTTTTATACTTATAAAAATAATTGTGATCATACGCTTGTGCCGTTTGATTCTGTATGATTCCCGCATCCATATGATCGTTTTCAAAAGCCAAATCCGTTTCGCCAACATTATTCTTCACCGCTTGACTATTATTTCCTTCCATGTCCATGTTACTGCCTGCATCTACTTTTGCATTGCACACCAACGATTTGCCTTGTTCAGCGCTTAGACACTGAGCGTGCGCACACGTCTGATCTCCATTCAATTTCAAATCTTCTGTTGTTACTTCAGACTCGTGCTCTTTCTCGCCAAATTTGCTGTCAGGGAACAATTCATGAATCACAGCAACAATCAATTCAGCTGATCCGGTCTCAAATAACAAATCTTGACTGATGGTGCGAGGCGTCAGCCTTGAGTCGTCTGACTGCGATTCAGTATCATTTGGCACAGTGCGAACCAAACCTGATAAGAGAATAAAATTTAAGCTTCACTTGCTTAGATCAAAGTCATAATTAATGCCTTAGATGAACTCACATGCGCCTGTAGCAAAATATTTAAGCGCTTCTGCTGCCGCAACTTGTACTTCGATATTTTTGAACGACAAAAGCTCACCAAGAGAAGGCAGAAAACGGTAGAAGAGACTTGGGTTTATAATTTCTTCATTAGACTTTTGACGAATAAGTGGCTACCAAGAAATGAGGTGAGGTATTTGAGCATGCAAACTAAACCACTTAGATCCTCAATACCTTGCAACAATTGGTGACGGCGCACACAAGTTGGTCAGCAAATTGCGGAGCTCCATTAAGGATTTTGCTCTGCAACAATTGGAAAAGCTCACCAACAAGTGGCAACTGTGCTATTTTCCATCTAATAAACAAAATCAGAACTCTTTACCAACAGATGGTAAACTTTTCCCTACCCAGCCTCATTCTCGTAAAGAATGTATTTCGCAAGTGCCAAGTGCCTCCGATGATTCCTCATAGTTTGCGGATCTGCCACTGATGCGAAAAGCTTATGAAAACTCTCATACGACGAATCCGACAAGACTGACGCTGTATGCTGCGAGGGCATTTTGTGGTCGGGTGATGATCTCATTGCAACATAAAGCTATCTACGTCTTCTGGGTAGAAAACCGGTTTTTCTTAAATAATGATATAAATAGATGCTTATAGATGTTTATTTCGATCTGGAATATATACTTATTTATTAGACTATTTTGAAAAGAAAACTTTCAAACAATCCCAATTCTGCAAAGGAGAACTATACGATGTTCTGGCTGTTTGTGGGTCATCTTTCCATGGAGATCATCCCACTCCGTTCATCATGTGGTGTGGTCAATCTGCGATATTTTTACATATTTTATGTCATGCATTTCAAGTGCTAGCATGCCGTTTTCAAATGCTGTAGTTTAAAAAAATTCCGATGTCCCTTTTTTCAAGCATGATCTATTTCTTCCTTGATTGCTGGAACCTGCATACTACAATGTTGACATTCTCATCGGTGCAGCTAGTCGTGTCATTTTTGAAGTACCTCTATCCTGGTTCTCTTGGTCTGTAAAATGTTGAACTCTAACGTTATAACTCTTGGTCATGAATTATCCCACCACGATGCGAGGATGAATATTGGTCTTGACACTCAGGTCAAATAATGGACAGGTCGAATCCTTTCTCAGTTATGGAAGTCCCAAGATGCGTGCATCGATCTCCCTTCAGTTTGGACGCTTGTAGGCGTTTCCGACCAATTTTGAGCACCCCACAGGGGCTCAATAAGCAACGGTTAAGTCTATTGGGGAAAGAAGTGGCTGCAGGTTTCATCAAGGCGGTCATTGAAAAACTGCTGCGGCGAGCAAGGGGGTGCGTTTAGCTTTGGGCTGCATCAATAGGGATGATTTGTAGCGGGGCTGCCGTAGCTCTTTGGCTAAGCTGAGGTCACCGACCTTACGTTCTATACTAAAACCATTGTGAGTCTAACTCCAAGAGTACGCAAGTCCTTAATCCAAGGCAAATACACTCTTCCGCTCACAATTTAAACTGTATTTCTTTGTTTTATTTTCGGTCGAGCCGCCTATATCTAACTTTATAGATTTTCATAATTAAATAGTCAAATCTTTTAGAATGTCTAGCTACTGACAGTCCCGCCACGTAGTGGCTTCTTGTTAATGTGTATTTCACCATTGTATGGTCACATCATCTTATGTGACCAACCCCTTTATACCAAAGCACGCGTAATCCCTTTGCACTCACCCCATCAAAATTGTGAATACCCATACCCACAGTTCACATTTAATTGTCACCACGTACGAAGTTCGCGTGTCTAAGAGACCTTTACATCCTCATGACCTTCTTCACGCATTCTTAGCTCATCAATCTTTAGATTCCTTGGCTATGGCCGAGAAGCGCGGGGCGAACGACGACGCGGACCGTCATGATTACTCTGATCATAAGCGTCAACGACGTCTGGGCAGTCTTGCTGAAGTGGCACCCCAAACTTCACATGATCTCTGAGTTTAAGCATTCCCGCCGCTTCACAAGATACTGATTTTGATCCTGTCGACGACGTCGACCCACAAGGTGTTCCACGTGATACTGGACGCCACCGTTCTCGTCGAGAAGAGTCGGCGGCGGACAATGAGGACTTGGTCGATCGCTGTACGGCGACCCGCGATGCTCTTCGAGCTCTTGTGGACAAAGTCCGTGGCCTTCGAGACTCCGATGAGCATTATGATGAGGTTGCATATCGCTGTGCGGAAGACCTCGAGAGCTTTACGTTGAAGGCTATCGCGCTCTGACGGATCGGATCCTAGCCGTCGATCAAACGAATGCGTCACTTCCTGTGGTAGTAAAGCGTCTGGTGCAATAGGAGATGGAGATCGTTGCACTCCGTTCTCAAAACCAGTTGCTGGTTCAGTTTCTGGGTAATCGAGCGCATGTGGGCGCTGCCTAGACTCCAACGCTTCCGCGTTCACTTGCGCCGGATCCCGGTTCGACGTCAGCAAGCCTACATAAAACTCCGGGTGGGTGCACATCCTTCTCGGAAGGTTTACGTATACGCAACGCTCCACTCGGCCACGACTTTAAAAGATCCGATAAACCGTGGGTGGAGCTTCGTCTTAAAGACAGTAGAAACTGCATGTGTAGGAAGGTATTTGGCATTTAACAAAATAACAGGTCTCCAACCTCAAGTTTTCAACACTACTTCTGCTTCTTCCATCTGCATACTATTTCTGCATGTCTTGGCTTTCAGCCATCGCATCGCGAACGTGTTGTAAGACACTCTGTCTGGTAGACAGGAAAACATCGACTTTTTTACGAACAGTGAGAGGGTTGAGATCAGCTAGCTACTCGGGTATTCCTCCCCCACTAAGCCCGGAGCAATGGGATGGCGGTGTCAGCGGGACGCGAGGATTAACAAGCCCGTTCACGTAGAATGGTGTGTAGCCGGTAGACGCATGCACTGCATTGTTGAGAGCGAACTCCACAAGTGGCAGCATGACGCTCCAGCGCCTTGGCATCTCGGCGCAGAAACTGCAGAGAACGTCTTCAACGATGTGATTCACGCGCTCAGTTTGACCATCGGTCTGCGGATGGTTTGCTGCTGACATTGTCAACTTGGTGCCTAGCACCCTAACGATTGTCGACCAAAACATCCCAGCAAAGCGTGGATCTCTGTCAGAGACACTTGACTCCGTCCAAAGACACGATACACAAACAGTGTCGCGTACTTCCACCGTCGATGGTGTCCGGCACCTCCGCCAGATGAGTCATCTTGCTCAAACGGTCGACAAAGACCACCACGCCCGTGTTGCTCGCCAAGTCCTTCGGCAGGCCAAACATATAGTCCATACAGGTAGACTGCCAACGCCCGAAGGGTACCGGTAAACTGGCCAGCTACGCTGCCTAAGAGGATTTCACCATTTGACACATCTCAGTGTGCGCACATATGTGCTCGTCCATTTGCACAGCTTGGGACACCAGTAGTAGCAACTCACAGAGCTGTATGCCACCTCACGACCGAGATGACCACTGAGTAGGGTGTCGTAAGCCTCATAGAGGATACGGTACTTCAAATCCTCATCGTGGGGAGCCACAATTGTGGCGTATCCGTCAGTCGGTGCTATAATACCGCAACCCGTTATTCAATGAATATCGGTGCAGCCGTGCGTGCAGTCGCGACGACAACTTCTTGTCCAAGTTTCCAAACTCCTTGCTCCCGAGAGCCCATAGCAGCGCTACGCGCATATCAATAAACGCGTATGCGGCGCGTATGCGGCGCGTATCATATCAGTCACTGACGACGTCACCGACGTGACATGAGCAAGTTCATTATCCGGTCTGCGTGACAACGCATCAGCCAATGCATTCTGCTTTCCTGACTTATACTTCACCTCAAAGTTATATTCTGCGAAGAAGGGAAGCCTTCTGGTCATTCTCTGCGAGAGATGAGGCAGCTGAGTCGCAGTGCGTAGTGTCGCATGATCTGTGTCGATCACAAATAGCGTTGAGCCAAGCAGGTGCACCCTGAACTTGACAAACGCATACTTCATCGCAAGTAATTCCTGCAAGAGGGCGCTGTTCAAAAGCAATCCTTCAAGCACAACACACACGCTTGTGCGATAAGGAAGCGATTCCCGACGTGGAGGGAGAAAAACAGTTCAAAAAGAAGAACGACTTCATACCTCAAAGGTAAATTTGCAATTGAATTTAATGAGTTATGACTCCAAGCTACATGCAAAACACCCCAAGGGCCCCTTGAGGTTCAAAATAAAAGAACCTTGGGTAACTGATTTGTAAATGAAGAGTGTACTGTGGTTGAGCCTCATCTTCAACTAATAAATGAACTTGGGTGTGTCAACTTCGGTGGAAGTTATCCAGTACAACGGACTGGCTTACGCCACCCACTTCCAGACACAGAGACACGTCAATCTCGTCACCAGTACAGATCCCCAAATGGGAACCAGCATTTTGTCTCATACCCTTAAGCTGGCGAGAACCGAACGCGATCGCCCGATCTCGCCCTTCAGCGTCTGCTTAAAGCTGTGCACACCCGATGGGAAAGTCCGAAGCGTCACAGTCGACACGGAAAGGACGGTCGGGGTCTGGCAACGCCACCATTGGGATTTGAAGGAGACCGTCCATAACCTCCGTCAAAAGCCTCCTGATGCTCGGTGTCCCAGCACCTTTCCGCATTCTTTTTAAGGAGAGTTGACGATGACCGTGTTATTTCCGCATAATTTGTGTTATAGTCGGTAAGGCTAAGCTAATCCTTTATTTTTCTGGATCCGGCCAGTCCACAATGGCCTTGGCCTAAACGGCGTCCACTCCAAAGTCACGCTTCCCGATCAATCACTCTAGAAAGGCATTTTTATGCGCTGGAGATGTACTTATCTGAATGAGCATACAGCTTACCCATGCGCATGCACTTGAGCAACACTCTCAAATTATCGATGTGATTCTCTACATCCGTCCTCACGTGCCCTGCAAAATTGTGGCCGAAGTACAAAGTGTGTCAGTGCATACGCCCGGTGGGGCCTGACAGCTGCATCACAAGCTAATTAAATGTTGCTGGTGCATTTGACAGCCCTTGGGGCATCACCAATCACTCCCAGAGCATGCCGCTCGGAGTACTCACCGCTGTCAGCGGAATATCACTCGCTCTCATAAGCAATTGGTAATACCCACCTACCAAGTCGAGTGCACTGTACTTCGTACAGCCAACCATGTTGTTCCGGAGAACTCCCTTCTACGGGATCGGCGTTATGCCAGAATGGTGGCAGTGTTAAGCTTGTTGTTGGCATGAACAATACGTTACTTGCCGTTTGACTTCCAAACACAAAACGTGGATGTCAAATGGGGAGACTTTCTCTCACACTCCATTCCTGCGTCGTGCTTACGCGAAAGAAGGCGTCAATGACGTCACACTGCTGCTTGGACAGAGCCAATGGCGTGTTACGCAGTATTTTGTTCCCGGAACCAGGTCGATCTCATGACGCACACCTCAGTCCGGAATTAGGACCCACGGCGAGTCTTTGGAGATGACGTCTTGAAATTTCTTTACCAAAGGATTGTACGGAT